TTAGAACTGGAGTTACATTTGGTTGTAAGCCACCATATGAGTGCTGGAAATCAAGCCAGGGTCCTCTGCAAGTGCTCTTAACCACTGAGCCGTCTCTCTAACCCCATGTCTGCCTCCTTTAAAGAACCCCAGAGTCCATTTATAAATGGATAATCTTGTTAGCTTCTAAGACACATTTCTTTAACTGATGGGAGTTTGTTGAGGTGTAATATAATTTATATTAGTGGGATTTTTTTTTTCAGGGCTGAAATTAAGATAGCCTACTACACTATGACGTTTCTGAAGATTTACCTTAAGTTGTATGAACTTGGAGGAGCACATTCTGTGCTTGAGGCAGCATATAATTTATTATATCCTACTTTAAGCTTCTAATTAACTTGAATGCTTGGTTAAACAACAGAGTAGGAGAGAAGGAACAACATGGTTAGGGCAAGTTGAATGTCATAAATGAGGTTTTATTAGCTAGGGAAATTTTCCCTTATTTAGAAGCTTTATCCTTAAGATGAATGTATATAAAATGGAGAAGTAAGTTATAGTGCATCATATATAAAAACCAAGCATACATGACTAAGATGAAAAGGTGGCTAGTGATGGCTAGAAGAAGAGCCAGAATGCCCTGGGGAAAGCTAACAAACCAAAGCAAAAGAGGGTCATTATCATGTGCCCACCACAGGTATGCTGTGTGGTAGGAGAGGTAGACAACATGTGCCACCATCTGTCTGGAGAGGTTTAAAGAGGAAATGACATTTGAGCTGGGTTGGCTTTTTGTTGTTGGTGGTATAAGACAGGGTTTATCTGTGTAGCCTTAGCTGTCCTGAAATTCACCATGTAGAGCAGGCTGGCCTCCAACTCAGATCTGCCTGCCTCAGCCTCTTGAGTGCTGGAATTAAAGGCTTGCTCTAACATGCTTGGCTTGAGCTAGTTATTAAATGGCATTTATCAGAAAGAAGAGAGGAAAAGACATTGCTGGGCAGAAAGAAAAGAGTGGACAAAGGCGGTATGTGACATAGCTTTCAGTACAAGGTTATAAATGCATTTTTAGAATAATGAGTTATACTTGAAGTCAGTCAGCCGGTTCCTCTACTTCCATTAGAGGAACAGAAGCTGAGGCTTGGAGATGTTTAAGTTCATCCATGTCATGCAGTATGAATCAGCACAGAGTAGGTGCTCTAAGACAAAAATTCCAAGTCTTGTGCCCTGAGTAACTCTGTGTCATAGTGATAGACTGCCATAGAGTCATCAGTATTTGGGGTTATGTGACTTTCTTGGAACCAAATTCCACTCCTAAAATTGGCTTCTTGTTTGCAGTGCCAGTCTATGACCTCTGTATGCAATACTTCATTGTCGTTCCTTGAAAATTTGAGCACTATCTGCTCACTGCCTGGTGAAAAGATGCCAAATCTGCCAAAACAAAGAAAAACAGGGTCATATGAAGTCTGAGACTGCAGCAGATACCTTTTTCTTTTTGAAACAGAGTTTCTGTGTGTAACCCTTGCTTTCTCTGTGTAGCTGTAAGGAGTAAGGTTTTCTGCCCGCTGGCCTGCCCGCCATCGGTCTTGTCCCGCTGTCGCACCAGCCCCAATTAATACACCCAGACTCTGTATTTGATATAATGCTGTTGGCCAGTTACTTGTTTCTTATCGGCTAGCTCTGTCTTAAGTATTAACCCATTTCTGTTAATCTAATATTTCCACGTGCTTTCATCTTACCGGAGAGCCGGCTGGCGTCCTGCTCTCTCCAGACTCTCCATCTTGACTCCTCCTTACTACTTCCTCTTTCCTCCTTGTTTCCTAGTCCCTCCTATCTTCCTTTCCTATGGGCCAACAGTGCTTTATTCATTAACCAGTATGAGAAACATTTACAGAATGACATCTCCCATCAGTGTACCCTTTGCTATCCTGGAACTGTAGACCAGGCTAGCCTTGAACTCAGAAGTCTGCGTACCTCTGCCAAGTACTGGGATTGGATTAAAGGAATGCATCACCACCACCAACACCACCACCACCACCAGGCAGCAGATATTTTTATGCCCTGGTCTTAGAGACGTGGAACAGGCAGAGAACAAAACATCCCATGCCCAGGTTTGACAGTGAAGGAACAGAAATGAATTAAAAATACTGACTAGAATTAATGCCAAGTTTTTACATTAAAAAGAAAAGGAAAAGAAATTTTAGGGCTGGTTGATATAGCTCAGTGGTAGAACATGAATTTACAAAGTTCAATTCCCAGCACCCTTACACATACACAGTATAATAATCACTTGAAGTAGGGATAGGTTATGAAGTGTTTAAGACCTCCCCAGTGGTACTTTACTTAATTTGTATCTTTAGAACTTGAGTTACTATATATTTAGGGACCATCTATCTGAACCTTTCCATTTAACACAAAATAGCAAACAAGACACTTTTTTTCTAAGACACATTGTTTAGTAGCTGCTAGCTGAGGTAAGTTTGCTCAGAACTCCTACAGAGTATGAATCTTTGTAGTCACACAGTGACCTAGTCTCACTTTGTTCTTTCTGAAAGAATTAAGCCTATCATGTCACAGGAGATAAGTACATTGTCAATTATATCTGAAGCATAATTTTCAAATCAACCTGAGAATTTAATGAATATCTTGCATATATTAATAAGCAAGAAAACTATAGAATAAATTAGGAAAAGCTTGCTAGCATTTATAAAAGTTGTTTGAGGTCTTTGGATATTAGAGAAAAATGTAAACTACAGGACAACAAGGTATAGTTGGCAGTACATATGTGGTCATTGGTGTGTTTGAAAATTGTGTTTGTGGGCTGGTGAGATGGTCAGATCTCAGATGGTTAAAATCTGACTGCTCTTCCAGAGGACCTGAGTGTAATTCCCAGCACCCACACCAGGTGGATCACACCTGTCTACAGCTCCCAACTACTGGGGATCTGACACTTCTCACCTCCCGCAGGCAGGTACCTGCCTTTGTGTGCACATACCCACACATGTACACATAATTAGAAATAAAACAAATCCTTTCTGTAAAACTGTTTGTTTCAACAGGGCAGTGGTGACATGCATCTTTGATTCCAGCACATGCACCTTTAATTCCAATACTTGGGAGGCAAAGGCAGACAGATCTCTGGGTTTGATGCCAGCCTCGGACAATCTACAGAGCAAGTTCCAGTACAGCCAGGACTACAGAGAGAAACTCTGTCTCAAAATACCAAAAATCAACAATAAAAACCTGTGTCGGTTCTCTGCATTACTTTTTATAGTGCCTGGGATCAAACTCAGGGTCTTGCACATACTAGGCAAATGTTCTGCTGAGCTACTTTCAACCTTTAATTTTATTTTAAGCAAATGTCCACTTGTAAGGGCAATCTAAGAATTTCCTTGACATTATTAAGAATTAGAGGCTGGGTGGTGGTGGCGGCGGCGGCGGCGGTGGCGGCACCACACTCCTTTAGTCCCAGAACTTAAGAGGCAGAGGCAGGTGGGTCTCAGTGGGTTCAAGGCCAGCCTTGTATACAAAAGTGAGTTTCAGGCCAGCCACAACTGTTAAACAGAAAAAACCCTGTCTCAAAGAAAAAAAAAAAAAAAAAAAAAAAAAAAACTAACTAGTAGTTTTAAATATATTGTATTATTTATGAGGAACTGATTCTTAACCAATAAATAGGAATTACAAGAATGGTTGATGCTAGCACTGATAAATTTTAAAGAGTATATTTTTAACTGTATGAGTAGAGAAAAAGGAAAACGTGACTATGTTGTGTTGGTAAAAGATTAGTAGTATTAATGTTTTAGAAGCTGTCAAGAAAGAAGACATTAGGAAGTTGGAGAGCTGGCTCAGTGGTTGGTTAGGAGCATAGGCTCCTTTTCCAAAGGATCCAGGTTCATTTTCCAGCACCCACATGGCAGCATGTAACCGTCCATAACTCCAGTTCCAGGGCATCTTATGCACTCTTTTGACTTCCATGGACATCAGGCATGTACATGGTACACATGCATATATGTAGACAAAAACACTCACACCCATAAAAATAAATCTTTCTAACAAGATAAGAAGAGGAGGGAGGGGAAAATAAAAGAAAGACAATAGAAAGTACTAAACTAAATTGGAAAAAGAGGAAAAGGAAAACTAAAAGCGAGGAGCTGAAGGGATGGCTCAGTGGTTAAGAATATGTTTTGCTCTTGCACGGGACCCAAGTTCAGTTCCTGCATCTTTGTTGAGTAGTTCACAACTGCCTAGAATTCCAGTTGCAGAGAATCCAATGCCTCTTTTGGTCTCTGGGCACTGCACTAATATGCATATACCTACACAGAGACACACAGCATACATGCAATTAAATAAAAATAAATCATAGGGCTGTAAGGGTGGCTTAGTACTTAAGAGAACTTGTTTTGCAGGTTCAGTTTCCAGCACCCTCATTGGTGAACCATCTGTAACTTCATGCACTAGACACACATTTGGTGCACATATATAACTTTGCAGTCAAACCTTCATACACATAAAATAAAAATGAGCTTTCAAGAGGTAAAGATGACTGTTAAGTCTGTAGAGAGCTATTTGAAGCTGTGAACAGGCCAGGTCCACTATGGATCTTAAAATGGAAGCACATACTTTAGTTACTGCTGTAGCTCCTTATTTTACAACCATTCTGTATTTTCATGTAAATAAATCTGGGTTTCTCCAAATATAGCAAACCATTAAAAAGAAATTGTTGTATACCTTATTATTTATGAAACTGGCTGTGGTAAAGTGCTCCTGAGGTAGCTTAAACTGATTATGATTGAGTAAATAAATGCTCGGAATTCAGGCTGAGTATATGCCCTTCTGTTTTCAGGAAGTAACGTATTTTTTTTTACAAGATGGGTAGGTACAGTTAGTCTACTTGTATGTGTGTGTTTCTGTCTGTCTGTCTGGTCTTTGCATCATATATGGTGGTACCAAACAGTGGAGGCTCTGATGAAAAATTCCCATGTTTGTCAGCTCAGTCTTACCCTACTGTTGTCTCTTGTGTCCTTCCCCAGTTATGCTGTTATTGCCTATGGCTGTGCCAGCTGCCCAAAGCTAACCTGTGAGAGGGAAGGCTGCCAGACTGAGTTCTGCTACCACTGCAAGCAGATATGGCATCCAAACCAGACCTGCGATATGGCCCGTCAGCAGAGGGCTCAGACTTTACGAGTTCGGACCAAGCACACTTCAGGTCTCAGCTATGGGCAAGAATCTGGACCAGGTATAAGTTGGCATTATTTCATTGTCTCCTTATTTGGTATCTGTAGTTTAAGTCTAAAACTAAAAGAGATTGTCTTACTATATACTCGTGTATCTTTGAGATCAGAGAACAGAAAATACTTGGTTCTTCTGAATAGCCGAGACCTCAGACATTTCCTGACTTGGTTACACGTTTAATGATACCTCTGCCATGTTGCTTCTTGTTGACCCTGATAGGTAATCTTAGCTATGTATAATTGGAATACAACAAAATGGAATTTTCAAGTTGCTGTCTTATTATTTGTCTCAGCTTGGAGGACACTTTTTTTTTTTCATAAGGGACAAAGAAATGTTCTATTAGTGTTAAGCCTGTCCTGCTTGTCATCTAGTTTGAAGTGCATCACAGCTGTTTGAAGTATGACATAGATACAAGAAAAGAAAATAAATACTAATTTAGGTTAATGATTAGCCTGAAAGAGGAAATGTCATAGTCACTTTCCACTTTGACTATTAAAAGCAATCTTTAAAATGTCAGCATCTTTTAGATGTACTTTCTCTTAACTGATGTCATCTGGACAAGATAAGAGGAGACAAATTATGTCATTTGCATTTTCCTAGCACAATATAATCTCTGAAATTGTCATTTTGAAAGAATGGTTTGTAAATGCCTGTGAAAATTACCAGGTGCATTCTATATAGATACTCAATTGGTTTTCAATTTTTTGTTTTGTTTTGTTTGTTTGTTTGTTTGTTTGTTTGTTTTTTGAGACAGGGTTTCTCTGTGTAGCTTTGGCTGTCCTGGAACTCACTCTGTAGACAAGGCTGGCTTTGAACTCACAGAAATCTGCCTGGCTCTGCCTCCCAAGTGCTGGGATTAAAGGTATGCACCACCCAGCTTGGTTTTCAATTTTTAAATTTAAAATGTCATGGGGAGGGATTGTAAACTGTTAACAGCAAAAGTTAGCTTCCTAAAGAACCATTGTTAACTTAAAGCTTACCAGGCTGCAGAATTTTCTTGCTATAATGGCCTGATTTTACTCTGTCAGCTAATGGTGGAAATTCCATTTGCCTGTGAACCAACCATCAGTCTGTTTAGGAGTGAGTCCTTACCCACTGTGACTCTAGTGCTGTGATGCCAGTTATTGGAATAAGCAGCTTTATTTTATGAAAGTATCTGAGTCTGGGTGCAGCTCACTTAATGCAAGCACTAAGCACTGAGATGGATCCCCAGTGCCATAGAAGTCAGTCATAGTGGCACATGCCTGTAATCCCAGCACTTGGAAGGTAAAGGCAGAGGGATCATAAGTTTAAAATCTTCCTCAGCAATTTCAAGCCAGCCCAGATATGTAAGACCCTGTCCCCAAAACAAACACAAGAGTTCTGGATACAGCCAGCCTTCCAGTAAAGTGTTGTACAATTTGGAATCTTCAGACAGATCTCTTGTCTGCCTTGTCCTCATTTTTTAATACACTCTTAGAAGTAATAAAGTCAGGCTAGATGTAACTGGGGTGTTTTTCTCCATCTTTCCCTTCCCTACTTAGCAGATGACATCAAGCCATGCCCACGATGTAGTGCTTACATTATCAAGATGAATGATGGAAGCTGTAATCACATGACCTGTGCAGTGTGTGGCTGTGAATTCTGCTGGCTTTGCATGAAAGAGATCTCCGACTTGCATTACCTCAGGTAAGATGGGACATGTATCCATTGCTTTTGTCATCCTATTCACTTGCTCATTTAGGGAAAAAGGTACCAAAGAGACATAGTTATGTCATTTACAGAAAAAGGAAACTGTAGAAAGTTCCTTTAAAGCATGCCTCTGGTGCTTTCTCCAGCAGCCTTGGGTGACTGTCTTCATTACCTTACTTTCTCACCTGCTGCATGACTTTTAAGGCTTTCCACAGTCTGGTTTTAAGAGTACCTTTCCAGTCATGCTGTTCAGATAATCTGAGCTTGCTGTTCACTGTGTCTCTTGCCTCCAGGTTTGTTCATGTTACCTTATTGGCCACAGTTACTTTCTGATCACTTCATCCTCCTTATTTCACCCTTAATCTCAGCTTGTTCAAGTCTTGATGGGTTTTTTGGGGTTTAATCTTTTTTACTAAAGTTATTTCTTTTGTGTGGGGATGCACTTGTGTGTACCATACCATACATGTAGAGGTCTGAGGACAACTTGTCAGTTCTTTTCATCCATTCTGTGAATTCCAAGGATTGAGCTTAAGTCATCAATCTTGGAAGCAAGAGCCTTTACCTACTGAGCTGTCTTGCCACTCCTACCCTCCCCACCCACCCCCTCCTTTTTTGAGACAGGGTCTCACTATGTAGCTCTGTCCCAGAACTCCCTATATGCAGGCCAGGACTCACACTCACAGAGATCTGCCTGCTTCTGCCTCCTTGTTTAGTGTGCACTGCCAAAGGAATAGCCTTGGTTTGGTTTTTGAAATGGGTTGGCTGATTTTTGTCTTGAACTTGACATCCCACTGCTTCAGCTTCCTCAGTAGACATGTGTCAATAGGCTTGGTTTGCAAAGTTCTTACTTATCCTCGAAAGGCAACTTAAATGCAACGTCATCCATCAGCCTTCCCATTTCTGCTGCACTCTTCACTGCCATTCCTTTATCTCTTTTTGCTGTTAAGAGCTGCTTTACAACAACGCTTTTTGCTGTAGTGTTGCTGCTACTTGATACCTCATGGACATGTCTAATCTCATTAACTGTGATCTTTTTATAGTTCCTTCCATGTAGTAAGTTTCTAAAGAATTGAGTGGATATTACATTATTACCCTAAAGGAGCTAACATTTCTGTAGCATTCGCTGTGAAATGAGACACCTCATTTCCAGTTTGGTGAAAATTAGAAGGCTTATATATAGCAGTCATTGACTAGAGACACAGGACTGAAGTAAGACAGGATTTCCACTTTTTACATTGTTAGCCTTATCAAGTAGAGAAGGTAGCACAAAGGGAACGAGGTAGAAGAATCAGACAGAGGAGGGCTAAGGGCCAAAGTAGCCATACTTAGAGTAACAAACTCATAGAAAGGGCATGATAAGTTGCTAAATCTTGCCCCCAAGAACCTGGTTTATATCTGTTAGGTATGGTGGGTGATGTGCCATGAAATTACAGAGTCTGTGTTAGAAGCTGCAGGATACCATACATTGGGTGAGTGCCACGTGCACAAGCTGTGCAGGATCTCAAGTAGTGCCTGCCAGTCAGGGTAATGTTATCAGTGTTGTAAGGCAATGTATTATGGAAGACACAGCAGAGAAGAAAGAAAAGAAATTTCAATTTTGGAGGTCTACCTTTACCAAGAAACCCACAAAGCCCAGAACTCTTTATCCTTTGCTCCCCCTTATCTAATAGATGTGTTTTCTGTTGTCTTCTGTCAGTTAATCAATGATTCACTGTTATTGAAAAGATGTGCCAGGCATTGGTGTCACATGCCTTTAATTCCAGCACTCAAGAGGCAGAGCCAGGTGGATCTCTATGAGTTTGAGGCTAGCCTGGTCTACAGAGTGAGTTCCAGAACAGGCTCCAAAGCTACACAAAGAAACCCTGTCTTGAGAGTAAAAAAAAAAAAAAGGAAGGAAGGAAGAAGAAAAAGAAAAGATGGTTGTTGTTCTTATCAAACCCTCTGGTGACAGTAGCTGTGTTTGTGATACTGACAGTAACTTCAGCATGTTTGCCCTATAGTCCCTCTGGCTGTACATTCTGGGGCAAGAAGCCATGGAGCCGGAAGAAGAAGATTCTTTGGCAGTTGGGCACATTGATCGGTGCTCCAGTGGGGATCTCGCTCATTGCTGGAATTGCAATTCCTGCCATGGTCATTGGCATTCCTGTTTACGTTGGGAGGAAGGTAAACCATGTCTTTCTCTACCTGCTCCAATGTTGACTTTGTTGGCAATAGTTTAAAGGAAAAGGGAAGGAGCTTATGCTTCAGGGCTGTGTGAAAACCAGCTCATTTGTAGATAAAAATAACTTTAATTTCTTAAATGGATTTTTATAAACCCCCATGAGATCTGAAAGTTCTTATTAACATCCTGGGCCTGGTTTGTCTCAGTGACTTAAGGTGAAATGCTTACTTTCATTCCCCTGAGCTACTTTATCTTTTCTTGGATTAGCTTTTCCTGCATTCATTTCTATTTTCCAGGTCTGGGTTAGGTTGAAATTTGAGAAAGATCCCTCTTTGGGTGTAGGGTACGTTTTAATATAACTTGCAAATGAACATTTGTCCTTTTTAACCCTGGCAAACTACTGATGTCCTAACCTGCTGACCTGGATTTCCTTTTTATTCTTAGATTCACAGCAGATATGAGGGAAGGAAAACCTCCAAGCACAAGAGGAATTTGGCCATCACAGGAGGAGTGACTTTATCAGTCATTGCATCCCCAGTGATTGCTGCTGTTAGCGTTGGTAAGCTAATGGGGCCTCCAGCTCCTCTATTAGCTTACTGTAGCACATCAGCCAGCTGGCCAGGGCCCTTATTGTGGAGACATTTTTTTTGTGTGTTCATGTATGCAGTGTCAGGGCAGGGGCACTTGTGTGAGTGCAGGAATGCTGATGGAAGCCTCAGGTGCCATTCTCAGGAGCCATCTACCTAGTTTTTGAGATAGGGCAGGGTCTCTTATAGGCCAGGAGCTTGCCACATCGGGTAGGCTGGCTGACAAGCCCCAGGAAGCCATCTGTGCCTGTCTCTCCAGCACCAGATTGTAGCTATGCACCACCACTTTTGTCTTTTTGCCATGGAATTGAACTTGTGTCTTCATGCTTGCAAATAAGCACTTTACTAACTGAGCCATCTTCCCAACCTGGAAATTAAATCTTAATAGACACTGTTACTATGGTGACTCCTCACTGCATTGCATTATCAGGGTGTGTCTTAGAGTAGGGCCTAGAGCTTAGTGTAGCACATACAAAGGGTGCATTAACAAAAATTAAAAACCAAATTTTTACTTTTCATTTACTTTTCATCCTTTTCTTCTGCTTATTTGTTACAGGACTCACAAAAAAAAAAATCACTTTTATTTTCTATTAATGCCTCATAATATTTTGGGGGGGGGTGGTATGAGTTTATTTTAGAAAAACCTGGTCTGGCATCCTGCAATCCTAGCACTCAGGAGCTGAAAGAGGAAAGATCAAGAGTTCAAAGCCACCCTCACCTCCCTCAGCATGTTCAAGACCAAACTGAGCTACATGAGACCCTTTCTCAAGCAAAAAATTAAAAAAGAAAAAATGATTTGTAGCTAGCATTTCATGAGTTTTATCATTTGTCAGCAGTGGTTCTGAGTGTCTCACATGTGAATCTTTTTAACCTTCACAAGAGCCACAAAGACAACATAATTAAAGATAATTAAAGTGCAGCCTATACAAGTGGAGCCAAGTTGAGTCACTGGGACATGAATCTAAGCAGTCTGTTTGTTTGTTTGTTTGTTTGTTTGTTTAAGATTTGTTTTTATATGTATTGTATTTTGTCTGTGTAGCATGTATGTCTATAGCCAGGCCATGGTGGTACATGCTTTTAATCCCAGCACTTGGGAGGCAGAAGCATGTAGATCTCTATGAGTCTGAGGCCAGTGTGGTCTACAAAGTGAGTTCCAGACAACCAGGACTGTCACACAAACAATATCTTTGGGGGGGGGTAGAAGAGACATGTATGTCTATGTGAAGGTGTCAGATCCCCTATAACTGAGTTATAGTTACAAGCTGACATGTAGGTGTTGGGAATTGAACCTGGGTTCTCTGGAAGAGCATCCTGTGCTCTTAACTGCTAGGCCATCTCTCCAGCCCTGAATTCAGGCAGTTTTACTTTGTAGCAGGTAACAACTGAGCTACTCTGCCACACATAGCAGTGTGATTGAAGAATTAGTCTGAAGGATCCTTAACCCCCATTATCACTCATTCATCCAGTGTTGTCTGTGTATGTGCCCAGTGCCCCCTGAGGACAGACAATGTCATCACATCCCCTGGAACTGGAGTTAGATTGTAAACTGCCATGTAGGTGCTGGGAATCTCTGGAAGAACCAGTGCTCTTAACCATTATGCCGCTGTCTCTCCAACCTTCAGTGTTAATTCTTGATTGGTTCTCAGTTTAGCACTTCAGCAATGAAGGATGTGTTATAAAAGCAACACAACAGTTCACATGTTGGATTTTACACGTATATTCTCTTTATTCCTGGGGAGCTCTGTGGTCAGACAGCCAATGAATTGAAGCCAAGACATCTAGACCTTTGTGACTATTTTTTGTTTTGTTTGATGGGTTTCTTTTTGTTTTTGTTTTTCAAGACAGGGTTTCTCTGTGGCTTTGGAACCTGTCCTGGAACTAGCTCTTGTAGACCAGGCTGGTCTCGAACTCATAAAAGTCTGCCTGCCTCTGCCTCCTGAGTGCTAGGATGTTAGGTGTGCATCGCCACTGCCCAGCAACCTTTGTGACTCTTAAGTCTGCTCTTGTGTTATACCAGCAGCCTCTTGAGATGCCCACTTTTTGTCTTGTACTCAGTCTGGGAGGGAAAATCGGGGCAATTGGAGCCTACCGACCTGCTGACATGTTTCCATCTCTTTCCCCAGGTATTGGTGTCCCCATTATGCTGGCATATGTCTATGGGGTTGTACCCATTTCTCTCTGTCGTGGAGGAGGCTGTGGAGTTAGCACAGCCAATGGAAAGGGGGTGAAAATTGAGTTTGATGAAGATGATGGTCCAATCACAGGTAAAGAAAGGAATTTTGTTTCCATTTGAATTTATGTATCAAAAAATAAAAGTCAGTAGAATTTAGCACGTTTTTATGGAGAGATTATCATTGGATTTCTTTAGATAATGAACTATGTGGGGGGTAAAGTATTTTTAGCCATTCATTTCTTGGTTCCAGAATTATTAGGTTAATTCCTCTGGCAGTTGCCTGAGTGTGGTAGGTATGAGGCAGTGGGACTTGAAGTAACTGAGTTTGCTAGTGGTGATAAGAAAGTCTGGCATCTGCAGCGTGCTGTCATTTTCTGAGGACTTTGCACAGTTTTTATCTTGCTTGATTTTTACAACAGCACTGTGAAGAGAGAGGGCCAGGGCTGTTACCCCATCTCAGTAGGAACTTCTTTAAGCTTGTATTTATTAGCAAGAGCTTCTGCAGTCCTGAGATGAGGGCTGGTCTTGTGACTCCTCTAAATACTGTTTCTTTACCTACAGAGATCACCAGAGGTCTCTGAAGCTTCGTACTAGAAGCATACAAGAACTAATCATAAAGGGCCTAAAAACACTTGCGTACAGTCTTAGCACTGAAGAAGCTGAGTCAGAGGATGTCATGAGTTCAAGGCCAGTCTGGGCTAAGCAGTAAATTCCAGGACCACCCCAGCTGTAGAATGAGACTATGTCTGCAAAAGGAGGGTGGGGGGAGGGGGAACCACAGTGAGGCAGGACTAAGTTAAAAGTAACTACACTGCAGTGGAAATAGTAGTGGTCTTGTAGTTAAAATTTGGTATGGTACAAGTGATCTTGAATAATCATTTAACTTTAAATTCTTTCTTTTATTTTTTTTAATTGACTTTTTAAGACGATTTCTCTAGCTGTCCTGGAACTCACTCTGTAGACCATTCTGGCTTTGAACTCAGATCCACCTGCCTCTGCCTCCCGAGTACTAGGACTAAAAGCATGTGCCACCACTGTCTGACATTTCTTTCCTCAAATAAAAATTATTTCCTCATCTAAAATAAGGGCTGCTAATCCCTAATTATTGGAAGGATTAAATACAAATGTTAACAGTCTGATATGTGGTATCTACTTGTTGTTTGTCAAGTAAATATTATAGTACTTGTCAGTGTGGAAACCCTCCACTCTGGAGAGTCATTGCAGGAAAATGCCTCCCAGACTTTGTGGTTCTTTGTTTCTCAAATGGAAATGTGTGGTTTCTCCCCACAGTGGCAGATGCCTGGCGGGCCCTCAAGAACCCCAGCATAGGGGAGAGCAGCATCGAAGGCCTGACTAGTGTGCTGAGCACCAGTGGGAGCCCTACAGATGGACTCAGTGTTATGCAAGGCCCTTACAGTGAAACAGCCAGCTTTGCTGCCCTTTCTGGGGGCACACTGAGTAGTGGCATTCTCTCCAGCGGCAAGGGAAAGTACAGCAGGTAAGGAGACAAGTGGTCTGCGACAAGCAGTTGGAATTATAAATAAGAAAGCACACATTGAGTCATTTCTCTATAGCAGGGAAGTCCCACTTTGATTTAATGATCAGTGATATTTTTCTTCTACAAAGGTCACAATTTTTTTACATGATAGTGTCATCCACTTAAAGAATAATGTTGACTTTAGACCTCTCACTGCTTCATTAGGTTGCCTGCTCTAGGAAGCAGGAAGAGCAGAAGGCACTTGCCGGCTTGTCGTGGTTTTATGCTGTATCACATTGACTCTCTGGAACTGTACTCTTTCTGACCTTTCTGTTCCCACTGGATAGAGTGTGAAGATCAAGTCTGTAAATTTGTTTTAAGAATACATAAACTGGTACTGAGATGGGTGAGAGGTTAAGGGCACTGACTGCTTTTCAAGAAGACCTGGGTTTAATTCCCAGCACCCACATGGCAGCTCACAACTCTTACAACTGTCTATAACTACAGTTCCAGGAGATCGGACACCTTCACACCAATGCACATAAAACAAATTTAAATAAATTATTTTTTAAAAAAAAGAATACATAAAGCTTTGTCAATAAAAATAACTTACAACTTGATTTACTTGGCATTTTGCTGTTGAGGCCTACCATAATGCCATATGTATTCAGAGATGTGTAACTGGCATTGGACCGAAGCAGTTAGAGTTCTGTGGGGAAAGAGTGGCCTTGTGGAGCACCACAGGGCAGGAGGTAAGGAAGGACTTGTCTCCAGGCACCTGGAGGGCCTCCAGCTGGGAAAAGGATGGTACTGTGACTCATTTTGGCAGAAAGAACCAAAGTGACTGGCAGCAGCCTCTACTGGTTCCAGTGCAGTATAGAGAACACAGGGGAGGCTGTGGGAAGCCCCCAGAGAGGACAGACTGCCTTTCCAGATCCTGAGCCGCTTGTCCTGGAAGTTTAGACTGAGACCAGATGGCCAGTTGGCTGTGGAAAAAAATGCAAGTGACAGATGGCAAGTGGACTACATCCTTCACCTTGGTGTCCTTCATTCACCTAGGAGGGAGCCTCTTAAAAATAGATTTTTGGAGCATATTTCCAGAATTAATAACTTAGAATCTCCTGGGGTTAAACCTAAGGGTGGTCTATGTTTAGAAAAGTCTCCCCAGATGATTCTAGTGTAGCCAGTGGCATGAACCAGCCTCTGGCAGGCATGAAGTAGGTGGCCTGGTGGGCTCTGAGAAAGGGTGTGCCCAGTGAGTGATCTGTGGCTGAAGCTGGAGCAGGGGCCCGAGTGCACCCCACACACATTGCCCTCATTTTCCTAGGCCTCAGTCCATTCTTGAAGGACATCTAAGGCTGAGTGCTAGTGCAGAGAGACAGGCAGCAGCATGGAGGCTGCTGACCTAGCTGCATCTTGTGACTAGTGTCCCTTGTTAGGAGCTCCTGCCCCCACATGCTAGAGTATTCACTACTGTGTTCTCTTAAAGCCAACTCCCCCTGAATGAGCTACAGACATAGTTGGAGCGTGACTTGCTGAGACTGCAGTGCAGCCGGCAGCTGGTGCATCCTGTGAAAGCCTTTCCTTTATGGGATGTGAATGAGTCAGATGGGCCTGACTGGGAAACCCATTATGAGGAAATAGTGAAGTGCAGAAGAAAATGGTGTTGAGCCAGAAAGGAAGCAGTTAGGGGCTCCCAGCTTTGAAACACCATTGGGAAAGTGCCGTTGACAAGGAGGGAAGAGGTTGGCACCTATGCCCTTCATTATTACAGCCTGGAGGTAACTTGATTAGTAAATGTTTTAAGTTCTTCCTGTTATGTCCAGGGTAGGAAGGGCAAAGTGTGAATGAGGTGTGATCTCTTCCTTCCTGACATAGAGAAGTGGAGAGAGGTGTGTAAGCTGATACAGAAGGTTGGGCACTTAGCTGAGGTGTCGGTTGCTGGAAAAGAATGAGAGGAAATGGTAGTCTTTTGTTGCTAAATACCTAGCATAGGTTTTGTAGGCAGAGGAAGGGGAGTTTTTGAGAGAGGGTATGGTATTCACAGAGCCACAGAAGTATAAAAGCAAACTTGGAAAGGTTGTGATGTTGGACTTAAACAATAAGAAAAAGAACCTGAGGAGTTGCAGATCAGGAAGGCCACAGGTGCCTGTTGGCAGGAAAGGAGCTAAAATTAGTTAGAGGGTTTGAGGATGGTCGGGTCTTTGCCTGCATTGACACTGCTCTGAAAGGTTGCTTGACTGTGACTTAGGTTAGTGGTGATTATTTAGTTAAGGACCTGAAGTTAAACAGTAGCAGTGGGGACAGAAAGGAGGGGATGATTCCAGTTGATGTGTAAGAGAGGAACTATGTAGGCATGGAGGTCATCTCAGCTCTCAGGAGAATAATGGGAGAGATGTGCGCCAGAAAGCAGACTCCAGAACACCCAGGTCTCATATTAACATCAACGTCCCCTCTTTACACAGGTTAGAAGTCCAAGCCGATGTCCAAAAGGAAATTTTCCCCAAAGACACAGCCAGTCTTGGTGCAATTAGTGACAACGCAAGCACTCGCGCTATGGCTGGTTCCATAATCAGTTCCTACAACCCACAGGACAGGTATGTGAACGGTCAGCCCAGGACACTAGGTCTTCACAGTTCATGTCCTCATCTGAGGGCCCCGTGAGTCATCTAGTGGAGATGTGGTGTGCTGGTGAATCCATTGAACCCTTTGTGGTGCTGGAGTGCTGAGCATCTCTTGATTGTTAGCACTTGACTCTTAGAGACTCTCTCCTTCCTTCCCTCCCTCCCTGTTTCTCTTTCCACCTCTTCCCTCTCTTTTTTTCTAGCAGTCTTCACAACTAAGAGCTGGATTGATGTTGGCTGGTGCTTAAGCCTAGGGCTTCTGTTGCCCTTTGTGGGATGTTTCCCATAGTCTCTTTGGCTTTCATTTGGAATGTTGTGTATGACCTGGTGTGGTTGAGGTCCTCCGTACTGCAAGGGGAATGGCTTCTTCTGATTGTGGCACAGTCATAGAAAGCTGCCAAGTTGCCTTCACATCCACATTTGGAGGAAGATAAGATGAGGCCCTTAGTTGAATTCTGGAAGATCTTTTTAGATATTTTAAGGAAGTTTTAAGGAGTGCATGAGTGTGCATGCATGTGTTTGTGTGTGTAGAAAAGGGAAAAGTGAACTCTGGTCCACTTTGACCCATCTCGTCTAACAATTTTAGTCAGAAACCAGAAACTATTTTATGAGCAGTTATGTCTGACTCAGCACAATGACTTTTGTTCCCACAGAGAGTGCAACAATATGGAAATCCAAGTGGACATTGAAGCCAAACCAAGTCACTATCAGTTGGTGAGTGGGAGTAGCACAGAGGATTCTCTGCATGTCCATGCACAGATGGCAGAGAATGAAGAAGAGGGTAATGGCGGTGCTGATGTTAGTGTTGGTGGCAGCGAAGAAGATCCCCCTTGCAAACACCAAAGCTGTGAACAGAAAGACTGCCTGGCCAGCAAGGCTTGGGACATCAGCCTGGCCCAGCCAGAAAGCATCCGCAGTGACCTAGAGAGCTCTGACACACAGTCGGATGATGTGCCAGACATCACTTCAGATGAGTGCGGCTCCCCTCGTTCCCATGCTGCAGCCTGTCCCTCCACCCCCAGAGCCCATGGTGCACCGAGCCCAAGTGCCCACAGGAACCTCGCTGCTCCAGCAGAGGGCCAGACTGTCTTGAAGCCAGAAGAGGATGAAGTGGAGTGAAGGCTGCTGCTCTGAGAAGCACACTTGTTGTAACTGCATCTTTTGGAATCTTTTTGGGGGGAGGGTTGGGGATTTATGTATTTTGTTTCAAAGATTCTCTGGTCAGGGTTCCCCCCAGGGAAGTTCTGAGAAATTTGCAATTTCTTACCAGATAAAAAGTGAAATTTTTGCCTCTAATATCCCTCCCCTTACCCCCTTGTTTTTAGTTTTAATTTATTGGTTAAACTGATGTTGGCAATCTGTGAGGTGTGTCAAAGAATGTACATATGTATGTGTGTATATTGTATGTATGCTAACATATTATTGATGACACATTTTAATAAAGATTTCTGTGGTAATTCACCTCATTTTACTGTCCTTGGCTTGGGTAGTCCTGCAGAGCCAAGTGTTTATTGAAGAGTAGTCTGTCTTTGACAGCTGCTAAACCTGAGGGGTTTTTTTTAACCCCAGGGGAAAGGGTTCTATTCATCCAACTTCGGTGACAGGAAGAAAAGCCAGGCTTGCTTGATACTGTGTTAGTCAGGCTGGAGTGCCTGCCTGGCTGCTGGAGAGGGAGAATGGGATGAACCTTGCTGGCCCTCTAGAGGCAGCTTGCAGTTTTCCTCTTAGAGCCTTACTCAGCGTACTTTATAGTCACTGTTAGGCTTTAGGGGTGGCAGTGTCTGTGGAGAGGGCTACACGTTAGGGAACAGAGAGTATTCTTTCTTTTCTTTCCCAACTGGGGCTCAAACCCAGGGCCTTGTACGTGCTGTGCAGGTTGCTCTACCCCTGAGCTGCATCCCAGCCCCAGGAGCAGATCCTTGCTGAAGAAGAGATGCGACTGCATGATCACCAGGCACAGCATAGGTGTTGGCCGTGCTCTCAGGTACACACTCCCTGCTGCCAAAGCCATGCTCGATTCTGCAGTCTAGTTTAAGGAAGACTAAGAAATAAGGCCTCTAGTGAAAGGAGAAAGGAGGCGTGCCACCAAAATCTCTGAATCTAATTTTACCTAACCTTAGACAGTCTATCAGAATTGAGCTTCTAGTACTAGGAATCTGGGCACACGGTCAAGAATAAGGTGCTTGGGCTGGGTGGAGGTGTAGTTAAGTGGAAGAATGCTTGCCTAGCACATGTAAAGGCCCAGGGTTCAATGCCTAGCACCATAAAGTAATAGTAATGGTAACAGTGTCTTTAGGGATGAAAGCCTGTGCAAAGAATTGCAGGGAACAGGATCAAGAGATTCAATGCAAGGGTCAAGATCTGCAACAATACTGTTGTGGCCGTGTCAGGCAGCTACTTTCTCACACCCCCACTTTGCCCAGTCCTTAAGCAGTGATTAGGCAGTTTGTCTCTCAACTTTGAGGGCCAAGCTGCCTTCTGTTTCCATTTGCAGGTGCATGCTGGCCTGCGCAGTAAAGGAAGAGGCATCTAGACAACAGCCACTGTGGAAGATCAGACCTCAGGAAGTGCCACCTGGGAACAGGAAATGCCAATGGACTATGCATCTCAGTAAGAAAGTGTCCTAGAGAGTGTCCCTGTGTGACTAAGGGAACCTGTGGGGAAAGGCAGGCAGGCGGGAGACCCCTGGGATGCAAATAATCGTCCAGAAACACTTACCTTGATGTTGGTGGCCAACGCCTTTAATCCCAGCACTCAGGAGGCAGAGGCAGGCGGATCTCTGTGAGTTCCAGGCCATCCTGGTCTACCGAGCTAGGACAGGCTCCAAAGCGACACAGAGAAGCCCTGTCTCAGAAAACCAAAAAAAGAAAAAGAAAAAGAAAAGAAAGAAAGAAAGAGAAAGAAAACACTTAAGTTGGATAAAGTCAAAGGCAGTCTGTGAGAGTGCAGTCTAGAACCAAACCTGTAGCCTGTACCTGAGCTGACCTAATGCTATGGAACTGAGCAGGGCAGCTTACTCCCCCTTGTCTGTTTCTCTAAGCCTGGTTCTGGGTTCACAGGGTTAAGATGCTATGCTGAAAATGCTTTGGTAAAGGCCCATGTTGATAACAAGGAGCAATGCCAAAGAGAGTCTGGATGTCTTCTAAAAAAGGAAGCCTGGAGCCTAAGTCTCAGAAAAGGGGTGGCTCATTTGAGGCTGGAAGGCTTTAACAACTGAGACGGCTCGTTAGCACCATCTGGTGGAAGAAATGAATAATGCAGTGGGAAAGTGCAGAAACTACCTCCTTCAGTATTCATTCCCTGAAATGCCAGACACTGGAGGTGTGGAATGTAGCAATGAGGAAGGCACACAGTTTGTCCCCACGGAGCTTACACTGCGGTGAAGGAAGACATGCTACCTCAATGAGGCTAGGTATGCTCCTGGGAGAGAGGCAGACAGGACTGCTTTTGATAGGCAGTATATTCGCTTTCCATCACTTCAACAAAACACCTGAGATTTTCACTTAATAAAGAGACATACCCAGCCAGGAATTGGTGGCATACACCTTTAGTCCCAGCATTCAGGAGGCACATGCAAGTGGATCTCTGCGAGTTCAAGGCCAGCCTGGTCTACAGAGCTAGTTCTAGGACAGTCTCCAAAGCAATATAGAGAAACCCTGTCTTGAAAAAACAAAACAAACAAACAAAAAAAAAAAAAGTAATACCCATGATCCTGTGGCTCCATTGCTTTTGGACCTGCAGTGAGACAGAACATCATGGGGGTGGGGGCCACATGGTAGAGGAAGCTGCTTACCTCAGGGCAGCCAGGGCTCACAAAGAAATACCACCACCACAGCTAGGGACCAAGCTTTCAACAGACATCCCAAGCCCAAACTACGGTAGGGAGTATAATCCTCTGGTATCAAAGGCCTGAATGGAGAAATGGGGCCGGGGAACCATGACTGAAGACAGAGTTCAACACAGTGTCTATGGCTGGAACACCACGGGGTGAGGTCGAGTCAGGGAGCAGAGCTGGTTAAAAGGCAAGATTGTACGGTGCATCAGCACAGTTTGGGAGGAGTAGCACTCCAGTGCTGTGGGTGTGCACAACCAGCTTTCACGAGGGGGGAGGGCGAGTATGGTCCCCTGAGGATAGATAGAGGTTTTGGGCTTGGTGGATGAGTACCTGTCCCTTGTACTACAGAGACCAGCAAGCAGAGAACTTCGTGCCATGACTTCCTTGAAGCCGGAGCTCTGCATGTAACTCCCCTTGCCAGTGAGATGCCCAAACACAGTATAGACAGTGATAGGAAGGCTTTAACTTCTTCAGCTAATGCTCCTGCAAGATCATCACACCTCAGACTGCTGCTCAGTGGCGCTCCACTGGTGTGGAAGGGCACCGCCAGCCCTAGGTAGCAGTTTGTGGTGTTCCTCAAATCCAGGTGGTGGTGGGTATAGCAGTTCCCACGAGTGTGAGGATAATTGTGGGCCCTCCTGAGGTACAGTCTCCAGCCTCCAAAGCTTTCCAGCTGTACTTATAATTGGTGGTTTGGGAGCCTTTCCCCCCATAACTTATTTTGTTGTTGTTCCAGAAGTGATGACAGGCACAAAGCTTAGCTCCGTCGTGACTAAGTTGGGTTTGAAGGAAATGAAGATGTCGTAGCTTTGAAATATGGTCAACTCCAGGCACGTGACACACAGTCTTTGAAAAGAAAGATCAAGCGTCTGCAGTGACAGGCCACCTCCTAAGGAATAGGGTCCGACGACAGTGAGAAAATGAAGGGCTCTGGGCATGCATGGTAGAGCCCTAAATTTTTTCCCATGTAGCCACGAGGCTGAAGTACCAGAAATAAAACGGGGTCATGCCTGGTCTCCTGTGTGATAGGGCATGGGACTGTGAAATGAGAATTGGGGATATTCACTCGGCTTTGAATAACTCCTGTCAGCCCACTCTCTCCACATAGCTCCTCACACCAGCAGAAGCAGCATTCCTGACCATCTTGTGTGGAGGTCCTGGGGTTGTCGACTTGAAAGAGAATGCCCACTGTTGTCCCCAGCTACGTCCCTCATCACTCCCACATCCACGGCTGGGGCCAGGGGGCTCTGCCTCTGGAAGGTGCATCAGTTGGGACTGAGAGATTGAAGGACAGTAACACTGACAGTGGTTTTCAGCTGAAACCTGGGGAATGTGTGGATTTGATTCCAAAGGTGTAGGTGTGGGGCTAAGACAAGAGAAGGGAAATTTTGTTCGTTTTGGTTGATTGGTTAGTGTGGACAAAGGAACACTCGGATCCAGGCTGCTTACCAGCTTGGACAACTAAGAACAGCTTTCAGCTGGCTGATTGGATAAATCTTTTTTTTTTGTTTTTTTTTTTTTTTGTTTTGTTTTGTTTTGTCTTTCAAGACAGGGTTTCTCTGTGTAACAGTCCTAGAACTCACTTTGTAGACCAGGCTGGCCTTGAACTCAGAGATCCACCCGCCTCTGCCTCCTGAAGTCTGGGATTAAAGGTCAGCACCACCACACTGGCTTTTTTTTTTTCTTCCTTTTTTGAGAGCTGTTTTATAGTCCAAACTCACTATGTAGCCAAGGATGACCTTGAACTTATTTTTATGTTTTTTTCCTGCTTTTTGAGCTTATTTTAAAAATCAAAGTTTATTTTAGCGAGCAGAAAGATTTTTTAATTATTTATTTGATTCTTCAAGACAGGGTTTCCCTATGTAACAGTCCTGTCTGTCCTGGAACTCACTCTGTAGACCAGGCTAGGCTCAAACTCAGAGATCCACCTGCCTCTGCCTCCTGAGTGCTGGGGTCAAAGACATGCACCACCATACCCCAGCTGCAAAAGGACTTTTAGCAGTGAGAAAACAAAAGAAAGTACTCAGTTGGGGAGAAACTAAGTTCAGCAGCACCTGACCTTAAAGCCACGATGCCCCTGCCTGTGTCTCCTCAGGCCTGCTGGAATTACAGAGAGCACTGCCATGCTGGAGTGGACCCCAGGCCTCCATCATGCCGGATCAGGACTCTACCAAGGAAGCCAAAGCCGGGCCTGAAGCCACTAAGGGCTGAGACCACTAAGATGAAAGCCCTGATATGGGCAGGCATGGTGGGACGATGAAGTGACAGGGGCTAAGGATTATTCTGCCGGGGGAAAAAAACCTAAAAATCCTATTTGATTTATATAAACAAAACAAAGAACCCAAGATCTAGCAATGAGAGACCTGTCTGGAGCCATCAAAATGGGGAGCTGTGGTCCTGGGTCTCCGGAGCAGAGCAAGCACCCAGAACACCATCAGAGCCACAGTAGACATCCAGTTCTCCAGAAAGATCTTAAGCCTCTGCTCTGGGCTCCTGCACTTAGGGAGGTGGAAATGCTAGGCCGTGAGGGATTACTTGGAGACTGTCCCCAAGATAGCACAAATCACAAGGGATTTAAAAGCATTTTGTGGTCTACTCATTAGAACAGATTTTGGAGGTGTAACAGATTGAACTGTCTCCCAACCACTACCTCAAAATGTGGCCATATTTGGAAGCAGGGTACTCAAGAGTATAAGATGCCCCCATTAACCTAACATGGCAGAGGCCTGTCTAATAAAAATGAGGAGCTGGAGATGTGGCTCAGGGACAGAACATGTGTGTGATGTACAGGGCCTGGCTTTGATCCCCAGCATCACACAGGGAAGAGATGTGTGCATAGATTGAGCATAGATGAGAGGTGGTGGTGAATTGGGAGCCAGGGAAGCAGAAGACTGCAAAACCCTTGATTTCTAAAAGCAAGGAACAGATCCCTCCCCCCTTCTAGCCACAGAAGCTTCTAGCACACATCTAAGGCTGCCAGCACCCAGACCAAAACAGCCAACTCCTGCTGTAAAACCATACAACTTTAGCACTTTGTCAAAGGTTAAGAGAAGGAACTTGGGCCTGGGTCTAGCTCACATTTCTACTGTGTGGTCCTCTCCCAGCTCCTGAAGACTCAAAAGCTACCAACTCACAGGATGGAAGCTATTATGATTAAAACAGTGAAGGAAACTCCTGAATTGCCTTTCCCCAAACAAATCCAAGCCCAAAGCATTGCAGGATGGGGAGGATTCTCATGTAAACCAGACTGGCTTCAAACTTCCTGAGGATGGACTTAAACTTCTGATCCTTCTGTCTCCTCCTCCTCCGTGCAGGAATTACAGATGTGTGCTACCATGCCTGCTATCCATGTGCTGGGAACTGGACACAGGGCTTCATGCCTGCTAGATCAGTGGTTCTCAACTCTCCTAATGCTTCGACCCTTTAATACAGTTCCTCAAGTTGTGGTAACCTCCAAAACCATAAAATTATTTTCATTGCTACTTCATAATTAATTTTGCTACTGTTATGAATTGTAAATATCTGATGTATGGGATATCTGATATGCAGCCCCAGTAAAAAGGGTCCTTTGATCCACAAAGGGGTTGTGACCTATGGGTTGAGAGTTGCTGTGCTAGACACTCTGCCAACTGAGCTACATCTCCAGCAGTTCAGGACTCATGGAACTTGTTTCTATGGCCCATGTAGGACTTGGCTACATTCAGCTGTTATTGAGCATGTAACCTTCCTGCCCTGGAGCCCATAGCCACACAATGGGGTGTGAACACTGATCTGCAGTTTGAGGCTTCCCCCAGCCTGAGGAGCAGAGAACAAGCTGAGTCCACCTGTCAGGCCAACAGTGCACCCCTCTGTCCTGCATTCCTGCATCTAGGTCGCCTGGCCTCTTCAGCTCTGCTGAAGTCTAGTCCACACCCACACATCCAGAAACACCACTCCTCAGAGCTCTGGCCTCATAGGAAGTAGCTGGCATCTAGGGACAAAACAGGTTCTAGAGGACAGGGGACAGAATCAGGAAATTAAGGGAATCTCTGAACCTGTTGTTGTTTTAACGCCTGGCACGTAGCAGCACCAGCTCTAAAAGTGAAAGATGAGTTCTCTGTCCTGCCCCTCCATTCCCCGCCACTCCCCCTCCACTGAGTGCTCAGTGAGCTCCATATACATCTGGTTATGCTGCAGTGACTTGTTTTATGGGTGCTGGGAACTAAACTCAGGACCCCGGAAGAGCAGCCAGTTCTGTTTCATTTTGTTGAGATGGGGCTGTCCTGGAACTCACAGAGATCCACCTGCCTCTGTCTCCCCAGTGCTGGGATTAAAGGCATGGGCCACCCTGCCTGGCTCTCCTGCTCTGGGTGCTGTTTCTTTTCTCATCAGAATATAGAGTCCTGGAGCTGCTCACTGGATATGAGCATGGTAAAGGAACGTGCTGGGCCCCTAATCACTCGCAAAGCATTGGCTTCTTTTCCCTGTGAGCATGGTACTTGTTTCAAGCTACTATTTGTACCTGGGCAAACACTGGAATATGTTGAGCTGGGAATTTGAGGGCCTGTTTAGACTCCTCTTCCACTGAACTAGTAGCTTGCTGGAGTGACTGGTCCTGATCATCCAGGAGAATAACGCCGTGGCTGCAACTGGTCAGTGTGATGGGAAGAGGTGGGACTGGGAAACACAGGCGTGACTAGGAGGAAGTGCTCTGAGAGGCTGAGGAGATAGCTTAGTGGGTAAAGTGCTTGCATTCAATCAAGAAGACCAAACTTCAAATCCTCAGCACCCAGGTAAAAGCCAAACATGATTGGACAGTGGTGGTGCACACCTTTAATCCCAACATTTGGGAGGCAGAGGCAGGTGGATCTCTGAATTTGACGACAGCCTGGTCTACAGAGTGAGTTCCAGGACAGCCAGGACTACCACACAGAGAAACCCTGTCTTGAAAAACCAATAATTAATAAATAATAGCCAAACATAGCGCTGTAGGTCTGTAACCTCATCTCAGGGAAGAGGAGACAGGAATATTTCTGGAACGCACTGGTCAGACAGTTTAGACAAATCAATGATCTTAAGGATCAGGGAAGAAACCCTTTCTGTTTCAAAAAAAATAAGGTAGAAGTCAGCAACAGAGGGAGACACCACATTGACATCTGGCCTCTGAATACACACACATACACAAACAGGTACATGCACAGGCACGCAGGCAAACATTCCGAAAGCTAGGCCATGGAAAGCCCATTTGCTTTAGGAGTGGAGAGTGGGATACAGGTCACCTGACAGTGTCTTCCAGCTGAGCTGCTGGCTGGGAACAGGTAGATGCTGTGACAGGGAGAAAAGAGGGTGGGTATGAGCAACTGACTCATGCCAAGCCCAGAAACGAGGGCTCCGGGGTGCTTTGTTTCCTTCCTTGCTATGTTCTGTATTTATTTATAGTTATCAACCTGTTTCTCGCCACCCCCTCACATTTCCCCTGACATTGTTAAGTGTGTCACTGTAAGCTGACAATTCAGCCTCTAGGTCACAGGTTGTCAAAATACAGTTATGCCCAGGCTGGAACGAATATCACTGGAGATACATGACTGATGGGATCCAGATCTTGACTCAGCCAAATATTGGGCTGCTATGGATGTAGTCAGTCGGCTTTTAGCATCCACACAAACATTCCTTCATTTCGGGGTTAGACACTTTTCCCTGGCTCCTATGCATCCAGGATCTGCCTACAAATCGGATCTACTAACTGCATCCATGCAAATGTGGGAAGAGGGAGTGAGACAAGGCCATCTCTCAGATGTGTGGCAGCCATGGACCACTGCAGCTGCATTTCCGTGTTGGCTCGTGAGCACTGAGGGCTGTGATCTCGGTGTTCTAGTATGCAATCACCCACTTCCTGGAAGTAGCAGCAGCAGTTGCAGTCAGAGTGGTGTGTGCATGTGTGCACACGTGTGTGCCTGTGCATGTGTTTTCCCGTTTTCTTTGCTGTTGATGGGGACTGAATCCAGAGCCTTCTGAACACTAAGCAAATTCTT